TTATTATCTCAAGGAAATTTCCGAGTTTATAGGCAAGATTTTACCATTTGAGTGGCCACAACCAAGTTCTTTACCATAGTAGATGAAAACAGACCCACACCAAGATATATCACAATGCAACTTCAGAAAATGCATGGAAAAAAAGAGACTTTGAAAACTTCAAGAGACAAGAGAAGCTACACTGAAAGACAGACAATGAATTGTGCTGAGAAAAATCTTTGGAAGCAATTTTAACAAGTGATAAAATTGATGTTATCGATTGTTGATGAGTGCACACAGAACTCAGGGTATACATCACCCCTATTTTCCTTCTGAAATAATGTTAATCATGCCGGTACAAATCACAAATGACTGTGAAAGTTGGACACGTCCCATTTCAAAAGATTCCTTACGTGAAGTTACTTCTGCCAAGAGCCTGTAGGAACATCAGTCCCTGCGTGTAAGTTAATACATCACACCCCATACTTCCCTATTTGATCATAAGTTACCCAAATCTTTCCCATTGTATATCTATAGAACTTCATCATTTTTGTTATCATTACATTACTCTGAGTTACATCACTTTCTGCACTCACTACATGCATGTTAGATTTCTGAATGGCTGTAGCTTTATCTTTTATATTCTCGTGATTATTTTTTTCTCACTATCAATTTTATTAACATAAAATAGAGCTTTAGAATAACTGTAGTGCTTTCATAAGCTCAGAAAAGAGAACAAATTGATACCTGAGGGAGGAGAGATATGGACAGGATAAGCTCTTGTTGAGGACGATCTCATGATGTTAATTTTCAAGATGCCCCTGGGGAGGTTGAAGAGGATGTAGCCTATTCTCTTTCTAGAAAGAGATGAAATTTGTTGACTCAGTGTCGAACTTGGAAATGACACTGTTAGAGATAAGGGTATATGTGAGAGACTGAGCAGCCACAGCTCTCTCTCTCATATTTTTATTCAATGAGATAAGTACATCTGATCTCTGACTTTTGGATAAACCTTTGGAGTAGAAAGATTATATTCCTCCTAAGGTACATACAGCGGGAAGCACAGGACAAATTGGCTTAGACTAAAGAGAAAAAATACACGTTGGAGGATTTTTTTCTGGTGGAAAAGGGCTTAAATCAGGCACGATGAGTTAGAGTGACTGCAGAGACTAAATCGAGGCTGTGACAGTTACAGAGTAGAATGGTCTCTTGACACAATCCACTAGCTAGTAAAGCTTTTATTTCTCAATCTATGTGTTTATTCATTTTGTGAGGGTTTCATGATAGCCTGGCTTGTGTTGTACATTTCTGTTGGGATTCCATGTCTGTGTGTGTGTGACTGTTCAGTGGACGCAGTGGTGGTCTATATGTATACTACAAAGAAAGTGGAAATATAATGATGAGGAACAAAGAAAATAATTAGGTGAATAATCTTTAAGTACGTGTCATATCAATATTCATAAAACAGAAGATTTCATTGCCAGTGTTGATAATACATTAGATTGCATTTATGGTTAATTACACAACTGCAGTAGCGATATTTTTCAGTGTCCCACAATCTTGATAACTATAGCTCATAATAAGCTTTGATGTTGGGTAAATACTTTCCACTTTATTTTTCTTTTAAAAATCATTTTAGGATTTAGCTCAGTGGCACTGTGCCTACCTCGCAAGTGTAAGGTCCTGAGTTCAATCCCGGGTCCTGAAGAAAAAAAACTTATTTTAGTTATTCTAGTTCCTTTGCTTTCAATATCCTATCTATCTCTGTCTGGGGTTTCGCTAGGAACTGCTTTGAAGTTGTAAACTGATTTCTGGAAAACATGCGTCCTTACTAGGTTGAGTTTGCCGATCCGCAGGCCCAGCATGGCACTTATCTGACACAAATCTTTGCTTTCTTTCATCAGTGTTTTGAAGTCTTTCCCATAAAGTTCTGTACATGCATTGTTAGATCGGCACCTAAACATTTTAATTAAGTGGCTTTACATTTACATTTTCTCCTCTTCGTGGTTAATATATAAAAATACCTTTGAGTTTATGTGTTGGGCTCCTATCCTGCCACCTTGCTAAATTCATATATTAATGATAGGATTTTTTATGAAGATTCTTTGAGGTTTTCTATGTAGAAAATGATGTTATCTGAAAATAAGTGCATTTTATCGCTTCCTTTTTGACATATATATATTATATACATACATAGCCACTTTACTTCATTTCTGCACCTTGCTACAGTGGCTAGGAGTGTGTTAAATAGGACTGAAGAGAGCAGGCATCTTTTCCTCATTCTGGACCTTAGGGGGATGTCCAGCCACAGGGATTTTGTGGACCCTCTTAACAAGTTGATATAATTTATATTTCTAGTTTGCTGAGAGTTTATTTTTAGTGTCATTAATGGCTACTGGATTTTGTCCGAAAGTATTCTGCCTCAAATAATATGATTTTTATTCTACTGATTTGATAGATTGCATCATGTCATTTTTTTAAAATGTTGAAGCAGCCTTAGATAACTGAAATCACTCCCACCTTGTATCAATTCTGTTGTTGCTTGTTTGTTTGTTTGTTTGTTTCAAGACTGGGGGTCTGTCCAGGTCGCTGAGGCTGGTTGTGAGCATTTAAACTCAAGTGATCATCCCATTTCAGATTCCAGAGTTCAGGGACGAGAGGGTTACACTGCCGTGCCAGGTAGGAGTTCTTATGCGTTGCATTTTGTTTCCTAAAAGTTGGTGGTATATGTGTTGCCTGCATTTATAAGAACTGCTTTTTCCAAGTATGTCTGGTGGATCTAGCACTGCCTACTGAAAATAGCGCCTTCTTGCCACTGAAGTGCCTTTGTGACAAGTCGAGTGACAAGTCTGTGTGTATTTGCTTTCAGATTGACATTGGCTTTTTTTGTCAATCACTTTAGCTTTGGAGTAAATCTTGAAAATACACGTAAGACCTTCGTACTAAAAACTTTGCAATGTTATTCTGTAAAAATAATGAATATTGTAAAATAAAGATTATTCAATAGAGAAGGATTTCTATTTTATGCACTGAAAGATAAACTATAATGAAGATTTTGTTTGTTAAGACTTAGAGACAATGCAGTCTAAATAAAAATCTCAATATTTTTAAAGAACATAATTGGCCACCAGATTCTAGATGCTACATGGAAGTGCAAAGGGTCAAAAATAGCCACAGCCATTTAGCTATTTGAAATGAAATGTAGATTCTTAAAATGGCATTTTATTTTTTGTCACATAGTAATTACATATTAATGAGGTACACTGTGATGCTTTAAGATGTATAATTGTTGTGTATCAAAGCAGAGAAATTAGCATATTCATTATCCCAAACATTTATCATTTCTTTGTGGTTTTTCAACATGTCCCCTATTCTAACATGACTATAAGCCTGTAAATGTCCCTGTTTATTCTTTTAGCTGTATAACAAACGTTCCAGCACGTCTCGCTTTTGTAATCATTCAAAATATTTTCTGATTTTTGTTTTAATTTCTCCTTTTGTCCATGAATTAACTAAATGTGCATTCTTTAGTTTGCAGATATCATGTATATTTATGTATCTTTTTAATTATTTTAATTCCACTATAGGAAAAAAATTATATGGAATGGTTCAGTCTTTTGAAACTTTTTGAAGCTTTTTTGTTGGTTTGTTTTTTTGTTTTGTTTTTTGAGACAGGGTCTCACTATGTAGTTGAGACTGATCTGGAGCTTACTGTGTTAGCCCAGGCTGGTCTCGAACTCACAAAGATCCTCCTGCCTCAGCCTCCCAAGTGCTGGGATTACAGGTATGTGCCACGACGCCCAGTATTTGAAACTTTTAAAATAAGGCTGAGCCTGTATAAATGGTCAGTATGTACTTGAAAATAATGTGAAATCTTTTTCTGTTGAATTTAGTATTCCATATCTATTAACCAAATTTGTTCATATTTTTGTATTCTTTCTTTGTGTGTGTTTAGGTTTTCATTTTGTTTGTTTGTTTGGTATCAGGCATCAAACTCGGGTCCTTGTGCTTGCAAGGTGGTGGCAACAGTGAACTAAATCCCTGGCCCCCAGATTTTTGTATTCTTACTGACTTCTCGTGTGATGCTCATATTAGGTACATGGAGAGATATATTAAAACTTCTTGATTGTGGGTTTGGTTATTTCTTCTTCTCAAACATTAAAACTTCTCCTTGTGAGTTTACAAGGTACTAGTGTAGTATTCTGGAGCAGGTACTATCCGGAGATCAGGTAGTTTTTCCAATTCCTCTGTTCTAGGGCTCCCGCTTTTGTTGAATCAATCGTGACCATTTTCTTTTACAAATGGTACGGTTTCTTTTGTTCTTAGACCTTTTCTTTCCACCTGAGTGTGTTTACGCTGTGTCGTCACCTCTTCCACCTACCCTCACCACACAGAAGTTTTCATTTACTGTAGGGCTCTTTCCTTTTCCCCCTGCTGGAGGTGCACACTACTGGAAGTTGTTCATGGCACAGCCATGGCCACATTACCGGACTGCAACCTTGTGTGAATAACAATGCACAGTGTGCCCCCCCCCACTTACACAATATTTAAATTTTGAGTCTTTTATGTCTCTTGGTTTAACTAATGCTGTAAGGTGTCGGGTGGGATGTGTTGGTCCCTTTGACATTTTCACATCGTAAGAGAAGTGGAGAAGTTTCCACTAAGCTACATCTGCATGACTGCCAGAACCTAGTCACAATCAGCACAACAGTTCACTCTAATTCTAATGCTACTGTGGAGTGAGAATTTATCAGTATGCTGGTCTTCCTTAATTCTGCTATCAGTAAACTAACTTTTGTTTGTTTTTGTAGTGTGGGGATCTAACCCAAAATGGAGCCCGCTGGGCAAGTGCTCACCTCAGAACTACACCCAAGCCCTTTACTGCCCTTAAATATTATTTACACTGGACCTTCTACCTCATTCCCTCCAAACGGTAGCTTGTTTCACATGTTCCTGAGTGTGTAAAATTTAAAATTCAGAGAAATAACCCATTATCATTGTAACGCGTGCTCCCCAGAGCGATGGAGAATGTCACCACAGTGCCTGAGTTTCTCCTCCTCGGCCTGACCAGTGCTCAGGGGCTGCAGCCCATCTTCTTCGTGATGTTTTTAGTCATTTACCTGGTTAACTTGGTTGGAAATGGGGCAATAGTGGGCATTGTTGTTTTGGAAGCCAAACTCCACTCCCCTATGTATTTTTTCCTGGGCAATCTGTCTTGTCTGGACATTTGCTATTCCTCAGTGACACTTCCCACGGTGCTTACGAACCTCCTGTGCACTCGTAGGGCCATATCTTTCCTAGGCTGCATTGCTCAGCTGCACTTCTTCCACTTTCTGGGCTGCACTGAGGCTGTCCTGCTGGCCGTCATGGCCTTTGACCACTTCGTGGCCATCTGCAATCCACTTCGCTACTCTGCCATCATGAGCCCCTGGCTGTGTGCGCTGATGGCAGCCGTGGCCTGGATCTCCAGCTTCTTCTACGCACTGATGCATTCTGTCATGACTGCTCGCCTGAGCTTTTGCCACTCGTGGACACTCGATTACTTCTTCTGTGACGTTAAGCCCCTCTTAGAGCTGGCATGTGGTGACACACGACTCAACCAATGGCTGGTTTCCGTTGTCACAGGAAGCGTCCATGGGCGCTTTCTTGCTCACTCTCCTGTCCTACTTCTACATCATCAGCTTCCTTCTCTTCAAGAACCGCTCTTGCAGAACACTGCACAAGGCGCTGTCCACATGTGCCTCGCATTTCATGGTGGTGTGCCTTTTCTATGGCCCCGTGGGGTTCACCTACATTCGTCCTGCCTCAGCCGCCTCCATGAGTGAGGACCGGATGGCGGCCATCGTATATAGTGCCGTCACCCCAGTGCTGAACCCTCTGATCTACACTCTCAGGAATAAGGAGGTGATGCTGGCTCTCAGGAAGAGCTTGGGGAGGAAGCTGTACAAAGACTGACAGCAGCGCCAACAGAAGTGATGAGGCTTGTGTCTGATTCACATAGAGACTCCTCCCTTCCCCCTAGCTAGTGTTCAGTTTACTTGATTTCTGCCTTTTTCTCAGAAATTTTGAGAGCATTCAACAAACACAGGAATAATCAAAACAAATTTCCTAATTTCATGAAACTTAACTTTTGGTGTGATGGTGGTGGGGAAACAAAGTAAACAAAGCTGTAAGTACATACCTCAAGGAAATTAAGTGCTGTGGATAACTGAAAGAAGGTATGAAGGACGGGGGATGAGAGTAGGTAGCTGATATACAATAAATTCATCTGGTATTTGTCCAAAATTCCTGGTGTGGAGTGGTGAATCCTGGGAATTTCCCAGATGACAAAGTGTCTTTGTTACTCCTGAGCCCCTTGGAACACATATGAACTCATGCTCCTAAAGTGATTCATGGAGGCCCACATTGCTTCAGGACTGTGTTTGGTTGCACCACAAACATCAGCTATGTGATTACAGAGTTGGGACTTTCAGTTACAGTGAAAGGCTGAGGGCAGGGAGGCTGCAGTTGGTATTCAGCTACCTGGCCAATAACTTAATTCAGCACACCTGTGTGAGCATGCCTCACTAGAAATGTGATGCCAGAGTGCAGACAGACATCCTTGGTTGGCAATACTGCCCACACTTCTGCACATCGGCGTGCTGGGAATATAATGTCCATGATGAGAAAGGACCGGTGTGTATGGGACCCGCACTGAATTTGTCCTGTGTGATTCTCTTTGGCTGTCTCTAATGTATGGCTTCTATGGTCAAACTGTAATATTATGTATAGCACTTTCCTGAGTTCTTTGAATCATTCTAGCATAGCACTGAAGCTAAGACTGGGCTCTGGGAACCTTCACATTTGTAGTCAGGTGGTCAGGAGTGAGGGTACCTCTTTTGGCCCCAAGCATACAGATGTTCTCTGGAGTGAGGCAGGCTTCGTGCAACACTCTGCTCAGAACCTGTCCAACGTGGTCCAGTTCTAAGTAGTTGATATCAGAAGTCATTCTCCTGTGTCTCTTTTCTCTGTATTGTGCTTACAAACCATACACACACACACACACACACGGATTACCTAAATTTGTCTGCTACTTCTGAATATAAGCAATTCTGTTATGGTGTTGGGATATTGGCCCCGTCTTACTGTTGGTGGAGGGAAACTGTATTTTCTTAGAGCTATGATTAAAAGAGCAACTTTCAAAGACAATACAGACCCACACTGTAACTGGCAGCAAAGGTGTGCTGAAAATGAGGGGATCCTGACCTATGTGGGTCCATGCTAATCACACACTGACTGTGGGAAAGTCCTATGCAAAACAGTGAAGATATTGATTGCTTGATACGTGTCAGGACTGCGTGAGCTGGAGGCTGGTGGCAGCCACCTCAGTTGGTTTCCAGCTCTAAGTCGGTTCTCTGAGCCTGATGGAGACATAGGACCTGCAGGAAGAAAGCTCCACCCCCACCCCCACACCAGGCCAGAGAGCCTGTAGTTAGCCGTTCTCCCACTTCCTGTCCAGAAGGGATCTACACCCTTTTACCTGAATAAATCTATAATGTGGGAAGAGAAATATCTATCTTTAAGGATATTTTGGTTAAACAACCTGAGCTAAGATGACAACAGATTACTCAGTGTTACTCTGTTCCTCTGTAGACTGGGGGAGTGTACTGCTGCATGAAGTAGAGGTGGTGATAAAGCACTCATCTTAATCCATCTCACAGTGTGCTTACTGTTTTCATCAGACCACCGGCAGCCATTTGCCAAGGCCTAACAATATAGCAGGTTACCTGTGCAATGATTTGCTGGTTATTTTCAGTACTCATTAGTGACAAGGGTCAGAAATATTCTGTACTTGCCAGGAGTTGTGGCACCAGCCTGTGATCTCAGCACTTGGGAGGCTGAGGCAGGAAGATTGCCATGACTTTGAAGCTAGCCTGGGCTACCTAGTGAGTTCAAGGACAGCCCGAACTACATAGCAAGACCCTGTTAAAAAAAAAAAAAAAAAAACGGTATTCATCTGAGACCAAAAAAAAAAGCATATATTCATCTACTTCTCTGTCTTAAAATAGTTCAAGGGGATCTTTATTATCTGAAAATTATGTGAAAATATCACTGGTTTATTGTATCAATAATAATGTTTCCTGGGCCTACTGAGCAAGAAGGGGTGGGTGCTTTGTTAAGAAATATATATACACCAGCAAAAGGGATAAATCTCAAAGATTTCATCTGTTTTCTGGCTGATGAAGTGTGCAGATGTCCATTAACCTAGAGAATGTTGTACAAACCCTTCAGTGACACAGACAAGTATTGAAAGTTGCACCTTCTGTGACTAGGATGTGCCATCTCTGATATGTCTTTTTTGTTTTGAAGGTAGCCTAACTCATATGGGAAATAGTCTCTGACCCACTTACTGGATACGTACATGACAGACAGTATTGACTGGTGCTCAGAATGACAGAGAGACTTTCAAGAAAAGCAGACTGTTACAAGAGACCCTATTGCTTAGAGTGTTATGATCTACAAGATCCCATGATACCAACGGTGTCTAACAAAAAATGTCATGCAATATTCAGGATTCCAGAGAAAGACTGTTGTTTTCCATACATAATTATTAAAACATCTCCTGCACAGCTTCCTGGCTAAGGTTGAATATGAAGATCTGATCATGGAAAACTTTCCATTCCAAACTGGGTACTTAGACCCATGCATAGAGAGGTTCTTATGGTGTAGAAGCAATCATTCATGAAAACAGTGCCACATCTGGAATCCGGTTGAAAAACGTCCAGAGAACAAAACAAATACACAGACACTGAGACTCCCACACCAGGTGTGTCAGTCCTGCCAGCAACCTTCCTAGGAGAAGGCTCATCCTTCTGTTCCCATTAGAAGTTTCCCTGGCCATATGCAGAGTAGAAAATTGCAGTGATCTAGTTCACAACAGGTTGCCTTGATTTTATGGTGGACTGAAAGTGAATTTCTGCTGTGCTACAGTGTCTACAAGGAAGACAGTGAAAAGTCATAGCCAGAGGAACTGTTTCCAGTGGGTCACCAGGCAGGCATCTTGTCATCACATGTGTAGACAGAGCTTTGGCCCCTGGGCAGCAGCACGGATCTCAGCTGTTGTCTGTGAGTTTAGAGGAATCTGTGCTTACCTGGAGAAGACAAGCTATCAAGTACTTGGAGAGAACCAATGGAGACAGATGTACCAGGATGAGTATGGCTTCAAGGTGCATCCATGTAGGCATAAATGTCTCTAGATTCTCATTCTATATGGCTGAGTATTACTCCATTTTATATTTAAAAAATCTTCTTTATTCAGTCTCCAGTTGATAGGCTCTTCAAAAGAATAAACAAAATGGACAAAGTTCCTTAACTACACTCACTCTGAGGGGAACAAGCAGAAGGAAGCAGAAAAAACCCTGGAGTTGTTTCCACCCTCACAGGAGTGCAACCCCATGGAGTAAATAGGAGCTTCCTCTGCCCCAGGTTCTGCTCTGCGACTTCTGTTCTCAGGGCTGCCTCTGCCACCTGCTACCACCAAAATGTCTGGTTTCACAAAATCAGAGGAGGAAAATAACAGGATTCACATCGCCACCTTATCTTTTCCCTCGGGGTAGACCTGAGAGTCTTTGGGCTTGAATTGCATCAGCTCTTCCCTGATCCTCCAGCCTGCCTTCCGCCCTGCAGATTTTTTACTTAACAACCACAAAATCAAGAGAGCCACAGACTTAAAAGACATCGTGCAAGCACATGTCTTGTTGGTTCTCTTTCTCTGGGAGCCACAACGAATGCAAAGTTTGATGATCCTCATTCTCTTGGCGTTTTGGAATTCTTTTTCATTTTGCTTGGCTCAGGGTTGAAAGGCCTTTCCTAGAGTTTTCTCTCTCCATGACATATCACTGTGTGGTTTGCAGTTTCTGAGTGTGTTAAGTGTAGAACAAGGGGCTTGGGAGAAGGGATTGTAAGCACTCTTACTTTGGTGATTATTTAAATCCTGGTACTTCTCCTCAGTCCACACACTGATACACCCTCTTTGGTATGTTCACATTAGTTCTTTATGCTCAGTGCCAAGGTTTTAAGGCTTCATCGAGGAGACACAGAGTGCACTTTCTGAGAAGTAGAATCTATATTTTTAATACCTTTAAGTAATAAAAAAATCAACATTTATTTCTTTTAGATATAGTTTTTCCATCTGATTTCAACTTAGCATTGGAGTGGATTGGAATAATCAGCAACTGTCAGAGGGTGTAAAACAGCTGCAGGGTCTGGAAGCTGCACTGAGCTTACAGCTGGCCAACTTGGGCTTAAAGCTGTATGTACTGCTAAATACTAAGGAAATCAAAGTCACAGCCATGTTGGCTTCCTTAACTCAAATTTTATTTTCTATAAAATGAATATAATTAAAACATAAGAGCAGAAGGGACTGTTGAGATAAGTATAGCAAATAACACATTGTTATTAGGGCCACAGAGTGATGAAAGCTAATTCTTGGAGATTGTACTGTGGTTAATATTTATCTACCCATGTGACAGTCACAAGAGCACCTAAGAGAGGACACTGGCATCTGTGGGAGATATGCACTGGGGCCCCAGGATGGGTGAGCTCTCCTTAGGTCACACATGTAAGGACTGTGTCACTGTTCGAACTTAGTCTACTTCTGGATCCACTTTTTGTTCACTGTGGTGGGGGTTGAACTCAGGACTTCCTGTTGCTAGGCAAGTGCTCTACCACTGAACTACACCACAGCCCACACAGAATCTAATTCCAAATGGATATTCTTAGCTGGCATCTACCCTACTGTGTATTGTTTACTGTGTTCATGAAATATTTAAAAAGAGTTCGAGCTCAGGACCATGATAGAAGCCATGAAGGCCCAGCATAAGAAAGAAATTTAAAAAAATAAATGTCCAACATAGGAAAGAAATGGAATTCATAAAACAGATTCAAACAGATATCCAGGAGATTAAACACTCCATTGAAAGTGTATGCAACAGAATAAAAGAATGCGAAGATAGACTCTCAGATAT